GGCTCCTGACGTCCCAAAATAGGGGCTGGGAGGGTGGGAAAAACAGGTCCTACAGATGGCGTGGCTGCTGGAGCCACTGAGATGGAGGTAGAGGCATCTGCGGGCATGAAGCAGGAAGGGACAGAGAAGAAGGCTGTCGTCGACCCACTACAGGTCGCAGAGACAGCCGCAGCAGGCATTCTTCCAGGAACCAATGACCCTGCTCCTCCTTTAAGGGACGGCACCCACAATAGGGGCAGGGATGGTGAGAAAAACTGGCATAACTGCTGCTGCAGGGAATACTAAGCCGTGGTCAGGTTGCAGAGCACTCAACTGTGCCTTTACTTTCTCCCATCTTAGTTGCGTGGCACCGAAGACAGGAGAAAGTATCTCGCTCACTCACTCACTCACTCACTCACCCACCCACACAGCAGACAGCAGGAAAAGGAAACAGACAGACCTGACACTTTCTTTTTAAAATATTTTTGCTATATTATGACTACTTTCTCATTTGTTCTCAAAAATTCTCTACTTCCCAGGAAAGACATTTGGCTATTGTTTTACAAAGGAAGAAAAGGAGAGAGAGAGACACAAAAACATATGTAGCCTGTTCAGCAACAAGCTGAATATGAGACAAAAAAGCAGAGTTAAGCCCTTAGTCAAGCCGAAACATTTCAACCATTACTCCTACAGGTACAAACTCAGTGACTTTAGATGAACAGTTTCATTGGATGTTAAGAATCACTTAACATAAAAATCAGTGAACTCTCTTATAATCTTATATCTTATAATGCTGTCCTTTGCACTGTCAGACCATTTCTGGGAGACATGCTAGCCGTTAACAAGCTAGCTACAAACAATTAGTTTATTATTTGCTAAATACCTCAATTGTATTACTTAAGACATTCACTATTCTGTTTGATTTTGTGTAATTTGAGGCCAAATTATAACACTGACTCTTTTGACGTGCACTCAAATAATTTGTATATGCTGCTAATGCTACAAAGTCAAAATTATAGATGACAAACAACCACTTCCTCTAACTCATACACTGGTACAAATATGCAAATTTCAAACGAAAAACTACCAGTTGCCGCTGAGGAATGAACTTCAATCTAAGACAAAGCACTGACAAGCAGATTATAGGCAGATTATAAATCCATGATAATGTGTCTAGCTTATCAGAAGTTCGACAAAAAGCAACCATTCTGTGGACGGGGGCAGTGGTGGCTTAACGCTTAAGGAAGCGGACTCGGGTCTGGAAGGCTTCAGGTTTGAGTCCACCTGCTGCCAAGTTACCACTGAGGTGCTCTGAGCATGGCACCATCCCCACACACTGCTTCCCGGGTGTTTAAAGCTGCCCACTGTTTGCTTTGGTGATGGGTTAAAAACAGAGGTCACATTTCATTGTGTGCGGTGGTGTGCTGTGACACAATGAAAAGTAGTTCACTTTTCATCCTTTAATATTAAAACATCAGGTTTTAAAACATGAAGCATCTTGTAATTATGTCCTAAATATTACTTCTGGTTTAAAGGTGTAAATTATTACTACTTCAATTGAGGTGGAAACTATAATGATTAATAGCAAGGATAAAACTGCCTATAAAAATGTACTTTAAGGCTTTAAGGGCTACTCTACTGTGACAATTAGCCTCTGGACAGAAATCATCAGCTGGACTATGACCACATTTATATGAGTAAACTGCTTAACAGAACATTTAAAAGACAAATAGAAACAAATGTTCATTTTGTAAGTGTAAATGTTTTTCTGTGTGAAGGAATTCAAAGTATGCTCATAAGACAACTTTAGGGCGTATGACGTCTATGCATGCATCCAACAGGGAAGATGTGGGAAGTGTCAGCTGATGTCATCAAAAGAAAAAATGTAACATTTTAATACATAGAATTTTTAACACAACTCCCAAAAAGGTTGACACACTACAAACTAATACAATATGTATTCTGGCAACTCAGATAAACTATCTTTACTTGCAAATGCCAACTCTTTGGTGGATGTCCTCTTTTAATGAATGTTTATATTAAGTGCTTTTTAGAGTAGTAAAGTATACCAACACGTTTTAAAATATGGGTTTTACAGACTGAATACTTAAATGAATAAATAAATGTCTACGAAGTGTTTTTCTGAGACACAGAGCAGAGGACTCACCCAGCAGAGCAGAGTTTCCATCTCCCAGAGGAAAGCGTTGGTATCTGGGCACACTGAAGGGATGAAGAAGGTGAAATTTCCTCTCTAGTAATGGCTCCAGACGGGAGGCTGAGGGATCAGCAGGATGGAACAAGTTATAGACTTGCTGACAGGCAGGTCGCAGCTGGGCCACTAGAGGGAGAAAGAGGACCAGAGACGTAAGTGAGCTCTTGAACAGCTATTGATTCCTATCGAGAAGTTGTGCAACGACGTTGTTTTCTATTTTCTCCTGAAAAGTGTAGCGCCTACAGTCATTCAAGATTCAAGATTCAAAGCGTTTATTGTCATGTGTACAGTAAGGAAAGCAGGTTTCCCTGTACAATGAAAATTTTACTTTGCTGTCCACACTGAATGCCAAAGAAATCAAGAAATAAAAATAACAAAATATACACAGGAATAAAATAACAAAATATACACATGAATCAACAGAAGTCTTTTCAGTATTTACAGTGTGCAGTAGTTAATACTTGTA